GGTGGGACCATGAGATCTAGTGGAATGAGAGGAGGGACAAGTCAACCTTCAGGAGAGAAGAAAAAGCAAAGACCGTAGGCCACATGGCAGCTTCACAGTGAGCCCATGTGGGCAGAGAGCGTGGCTTATGCTGGTAGACACCACCCAAACGGAAGCCCGGCTTGCCTAGGGGCGGACGTCAGAAAGGAAGAAGCAGATGGGTTTTTTTGAAGTCCTGGAAAGACACACTCAGGGGGCCTAAAGGCCCTGGCATAAGATGTCCACTAGAGGAAAGTGGTTTTTACCCATTTTCTTGCATTGGCACAATAGGCCGCTGCTGGTGTCTCAGACTCTAGGTGGTGATTCTGCTGGCATTTGCGAATATTGGCGATTCTGGCCACATCACAGCACTCCCTTTCACTGCCAATATGCCTTCAAAGCATGTGTGCCTGTGCCATGCAGGCCAGAGCTTTCTATCAAATTCTAAATACCACCCTTTCGCTCATCTTGAACTCACCTGCCCCAGTCCTGAATTCTAACAGCTATAGCAAGGGGAGGGACAAGAAGCATTAAAGAAAGAAAGAAGGGAGGCTGGGGAGCTGAAACTTTTACCTTCTGAAATAACAGATGAAGCCAAAGGGAGCCAGTTAAATCTTACAAAATGGCCATCCCTCTATTATTCATCTTTAATCTCCATAATCACCTTTAAAAGAAATGGCTACTGCTACCCTGTAGTTTTCCCAAGGTATCATGTCTGCAAATATCTAACCTATAAAATTGGCCTCGGCCCCACCTGCCTCCCTGGCAGATGAACTCTGGACTGCCTGCGTGTCTCACTCCAGGAGGGGACAGCCTCATCTAGCTATGGCTGACACGTTCCGCCCGCCCTCCCTCCGGAGTCCCAAGAGAACCAATCAAAGACAGAGAATGTCAGAGTCAGCAACCTCTTTGGTCTTTAGGGCCTCTGCTGGGCTCAGCCGTGCCCATGGGGGATGTCTAATGTGGTCCAAGGGACAGGCAAAGGAGATCTAAAAATAAAAAAGAACAATTGGGAAATAGAGGGGGAAAATAATAAAGGGAGCAATAGATAAGATAAAGAACACAGAAAGAAATGTTGCTATTATTTAGATGGGGTGGGGGGCAACAAAGACTGCTTCACAGAGTCACTGTGTTAACCCTGGCTCTAATTATCCATCCAGGCATTCAATCCCACAAGCATGTTGGGCCAGTGCCGGGGAACCAGGAATCTAATGCTAGTACAGTTCCCCCAGCTGGGGGCCCCAGCAGAGCCCTGCCCTTAGCTTGAATGGGATCATCTTGAAGTTACTTTTGTGTTTTAATGGTTCTTCATTCCATCCCAAGCCTGTACCTCACTGAAAATCTTGATTTTCAATGCTCCCTGATATGTTGTAAGTATTAGTTCAGAGACTCTAGTAGTGTCAGCTGGGAGATTATCAGGAATGCACTCGTGTGAGTGTGTGTATAATAGGTCCCACCCAAGTCCAAGGGTTAGCTAATTAGTAAAGACAAGGCTTCTGGCAAGCTCTGGAAAGCCTGTGCTTAAAGGCCGCTGAAGTGATGAGCCCACGAGAGCACCTCGTGTCCATCTCCTCCTCGGGGTAGCACGAGACTTGTTTTCTGGGCCTGGCAGAGTACACAGAGCCTGGTTCCTGGCACCCGCCAGATGTATCGTCTCTCCTCCCACAGTCCTTAATGAAGTGTGCAGCTCTAGTCCTCATTAGGCCTCAGCATCGTCAATAAAAGAGTCAATAAACCCGGCTGACGGGGTTGAGACTGAGGGGCTGAGAGGCAGCGGTCGCACATCCACAGGGCAGCCGTCAGCTCCACCTCGGTGTGACCCAGCATGCAGGGATCAATAACCAACTGGGCTAAAGCCCAAGGGCCCCCCCCTCAGCCTCCTCCGGACTGTTTCACCCAGGGTGGAGCAGTGCCAGCCAGCTCTGCTTTGCTTGCAGTTGTTCCCACCTCGTGCCATTCTGGGTGCCAGATGCTTTGCTTCTTCCAGACTGAACCCTCTGGACACCCCATGGATGCATATTTAGTGAGTGCCCACCTGGCACGAGAACATGTAGCCGGCATCGCCAGGCAGCCTGGAGGCTGGCCTGGGCCCTGTTCTCCGTGTCTTCTGTCTGCTGACAGTGTGTGAGGGGCCCCCACGGACCAGGCAGTATGTTTTCTGCATGTTGTGTTGTGGACTCCATTCCTGGCTGTGCTGCATCTCTTTAGATACCCTTATCTTATCTAATTACAAGGAATTTCAGATTAATTTCGTGGCCTCTGCTCCAAAGGACTTCTTATCTGCAAGGGCCTTGTATTTTTAACCTTGTCATTCTTTTGTTGTTCGCCTTTAAGGGGCAGGCAGTTAAGAAGGGGGGTGCTCAGATCTTGCTGGAATTGGGGCTTGGGGGAGGGGGTGTGGAGAGAGGCCGACAGACCTGGGATTTGTGTATTCTGCTCCATCCCCCCACCCCCCTGTGTGCGAGACAGCTGGCTGCTCACTTCCATGACAGCCACATGGTATCCAGCCACACAGAACAGGACTAGGGCAGGGACTGTCTGCTGCCAACCTCTCCAGATCCCTTTGATATTTCCGACAGAGCAGTAAAGGACTCTTGACTATCACGTCTTGCCTTGCCTCTCTCCACCTCCTCTAAGACTCCTTGGTGTGGTTTCCATGGCTACCCCCAATCAGATTTGGCTTCCTGCGAAATTGGATTTCAAAGGAGGACAAGGCTTCAAAGGAATTTGTCCATTTAACAGAATGTCATTAGGAGTGAGGCTGACTGCTGAACCAGGGTCCTCGGATGATTAAGGAGGGGCTGCGCTCATGTGTGGGGGCAGGTTTCTGTCTGCGGTGAGGAAACTTGATGCAACATGACAATGCCGAATTGGAATCTGCCAGTCACCCACTGCACACTACCCAACTCTGCACCTCCTCTAAGACCCAGATGGATGTAGAATATGTACAAGGGGAGCTGCTGTTGCCTCTTCGCTGGAAAGTATGACAGGCAGTGAGAGCAGAGAGGATGTGCAATACTTGGGCTTATGGCTCTTTATCAAACAGCTCATTAGCTTGTAGCCTGTATTAGCATTTGACAAATATACTTGAAGAAGAGGGGGCGGATGTCAAGTTTCCTTTTGCTGAGGAGAGGGTAGCAAGGTAAGGTGCTGAGGTACGTCTAAGAGGGACTTTGTTTCCCTGGCTGTTTTTAGGATAATTTTAGATTACAACAGAATTGAAATGACAACACAGAAATTCCCATCTATCCTCCCTTGCTCTGGAACACAAGTCATTAATACTCAAAAGTGATTCCAGAGCAGCAACAGTATTATAAAAAGAGCACTGAGCGTGGAAAAAAAAAAATGCCCTAGCCTGGTACCTGGTATTTGCTCTACCTGAAGGAGTGTTGCCTTCAGGGTAGGGTTCCCTAGGCTCTCCTGTCCCTGCCCCGCCCTCCACCCAGTTTCCTGTAGCTTGTGGCCCTGAAACCCAGGTACTAGTTCTCTTCAGATCACATGGGCCTGTAAAGATAGCTCCACTGAACCCCGGAAAGAATCAAGCCCCAAGCTAGAGCACATACTAGGCCTGGAGGCAGGTGCTGCTCACAGAGTCCTGGGCTGTCCCCATATACATGGTTCAGTCATTATTTCCCCGGAGTTGCTGGAAAAACCACTTCACCCATCTGCCCTTCCCTCTTTCAGGGCTCCTAACCCCCGAGGCTCCCAACCCCCACAGAGTCTGTAGCAGTCTGAGCAGAGACACTCCATGTTTTCCAAAGAAGGGGAACTGTAGAGGTGAAATGAGTGGTAAAGATCGCAGGCTGTACTTGGCTCAGGGTGGGCCACTCCCCACCAGAAATCTGCCCCTGCCCCCCCCTCCCCCATGCACTCAACTGAGTTCAAAATCCTCATTCTGACTTTCAAGTCCATTCACAATAGAGCTTCAGATTTTCTCAACAACTAGCATTTCCCTCTTGGACACCCGTACAAGAGGGTTATTAGCTGTTCCTCAAACAGAAGACTTTGTGTCTTTGCTTACTCTGGCTCTTCCACCAGAAAGTGCTCTGGCCCTTCCATCTGGTGTTTGGACCATCTTCAGCGAGACACCCACCATTAAACACACACACATACACATACACAAACACACACTTCTCCCCTTCTCTTATACCTATATGCTTCCTTTGGTGGTCCGAGGCACTTTGGACTGTTGTCATAGCACTTGGTTTATTGTATTTTTAAAAAAGACAAGCTCTTTGAGATACTCGTAGTGACAACAATTAATGGTGCTCCTGCCTACCCCTCGCCCAGAGTTCCCTCACCAGTACCACCTTGCAATATCACGGCACCATACACTTTGAGTGAGTGGGAGAGAACACTTTCCCGGGGTCGCAGCTCATCCTCACTGCCCTGCCTTGCCAGCTGTTACAGCAACGGGGCTCTGTTCGCCACTATTCCCGCCTCCCCTTCCTTTCCTCTCAGCCCTGCAGTCTTAGGGAAGGGGCATTTGGGCCTGCTGTGTCCTTGGCACCCTGCCGGCGAGTCTCCCAAATGCTGGAGGTTCTATGTTACTCACTGGGACTTAGGGCCACTCCCTTTCAACAGCGCGGATGGCCTGGGAGACCAAACGTTTCTGGGCACGCAGGTGCTATACTTGGCGGGGACCCCTGTCTTCCTCGGCTTCTGCTTCCTGGAGCCCGATTTCGGGTTCTCTCAGTGCTCCCTCGAGGCCAACTGTCCGGTGCTCGGGAAGGGAACTCTCGGAGCCGGGTGTCGGCTCCGGGTTGGGGGCCCCGCGCGCGGCCCTGCAGCTCCCTTTCCAGCTCCGGCCCGGACAGGAGCGCGCGCGCGCGCCTGCGCCC